TATGATTGTTTCCAGGAACAATTCAGCTAATCCACTCACATCACATGCAGCAATGCACTAACAAGCTGCTAAGTTGTCAGATGTGTCAGTGAATGTGTACAATTGATTCAAGAGAAACAGATGAATGTTTACAGAGGACAGTTGGCATTCACTAGTGTATAGCTAAAAGTGGGAAACTGGAACAGTCACTGGAAACAATCATATGTGTATGTTGATTTCACATTTGGAGCCATCTATCTTCCTGTGTGTGTGTGTGTGTGTGTGTGCGCGCACACATACACATATGCGTATGTGTGAGTGAGAAAGAAAGAAAGAGAGATTTCCTTTCTCAGATATAGTCTGTGTCTACCCTCGAGGGGCTTTTCTGCCAGAATGAGATTCAGTTCTAGAAAAATGCATCATGATCGATGGAGATTTAGCGTCCTGATGAATTAATGACTGCTCTGCTCCCATCCCAAATAGATCTGGGTTATCTTTATGGTCAGAGGCGATATGGCTTCACACCCACCTCACTGTGTTCTCAATGTATCTTATCTTCACGTGGACAAGATCCTCAATCGTTTTCTTGTGCAAACCATCTGCTCTTTTTCAACCTCCAGAAAATCAACGTAATCCCACATTCAAAGAAAGTCTTATCAACATATTTTTTGTAAAATGTTTTATTTCAGTTTCTGTGGTCTCCATATCCAGTTGAACATTGCAAAGAAGGACTTTTCATCTTCCTAGAGACAGACATACTGTACTGCTACCTACTCTTACTTCAACTAGGCTGTTGACATCCTATCAGAGGATCAACACAATCCACGGGTGGCCCAAAATGCTTCGGGTCCTAAGACTAAAACTCCAAATGCCCCCACCAAGCTCTTACCAATTACTATGGGGCCCAATACACAACAATATTATCCAGTGCAAATCCCATTCAAGTGAACTGCGGTACATCTAGACCAGGGGCTCAAGCTCAGTTCAGATGAGTTCTGCATGGGATTGGTTCATTAGCTTGAGGGCCTCACCCTTTCAAGCCTTCTCATGCCGTGATTCAAAAGTATCTAGGAAGTAAAAAATGAAGAGTATTGCGCCGTTAAACATAAATTTATTAAATATAAAAAGTACCGTGAAACAGAGCTACTTGCAAAACAGTGCTGCAAAACAGCTATTTCACTTTGGCTACTTAGCTGGCAGCATTTTTCATTAACTAGAACACCAATATTTGGTTTTTATTACTGCGCTGATATGCAATATTTCTTCATGATCATACCTAGGATGAAATAAAGTAGGAAAGCCATCCCATTAAGAGCTGTCCAATCCCTTTTTTCTTCTCTCTCCTTGCTGAAAGGAGACATTTTTCTTTTGGTCTCACCCTGCCCCACCACCTCTCCTCTCCTTTCCCCTCCTGTGGTCTTGCTTGCTTGTCCTCTGTCTTTCCCACGCTACGCCCATCAGGCAGAACTTGCAACAGGGCAGAGAGCTACAACCCTTCTCTCAACTGCCTTCTCCCTTCTCCACCAGGCCTGACCTCTTTTTCTGGCTATGCTTTGCTTCCTTGCTGCTCCCACCAGCAGAATTTAGCACCAACTCAGAAACAGCATCCACAATGCAATGTGAGAGCAACTAGGAGTGTCAGAAGGGCCGCACTGCTGGCAAGAGAGACTCTGAGCATGTTCTATGCAACTTGGCCCACAAGGAGACCTTGTGAGGTCATCGGGCTGAAGTAGTTGCTGCCGGGCTGTTCTTCTCCTTGGAGCTCAGGCCTCTGGCCTTGCTGGGCTATGTCTTCAGCACCTACAAAGCATAGATTTTTGCAGGACACAGAAAATGTTTTGGAGAGTGGTTGTTGTCCTCCCATCGGCCACAAGTTTGAGACCCTTGGTTTAGACTCTGTCCCATGGTTTGGATTTGTCCATCTCTGCCAACTTGAACAGCATCCAAAATACACTACCTGATGAGACAGCATTCAGACTGTCTTGCTTTGTTTAACCAAAACTGCCTAAAAGAAAAAAAAATGGTGCCACTGCTCTTCTCTGCACCAAATTCCACTAGCTGGACAAAAGCTTTCTAGGGGTCTCTTTTGGCAACTCAGTCTTTCAACACTATATTTAACTCAACCTTGCTTGCTCCAGCTTAAAACTTGCCGTTTACAGGCCGCTAGTCCAAAGTATAATCTTCTGAGGTGTCTGTTTCTGTTATGGGTTCAATCCCATGTACGTTGGCATTGAAATGGCGGTGAGTGCATTTCCAATTCCAAAGCTACGTTTTCAGCTCTACCCTGTGTTCTATCAACCCACCCCACCCCAAATATACAATACCACCCATCTCTAAATGACACAGGATTTGTAGTGTTTCAAGTTATAATAAAAAAATAAAGAAAAACAAGCAAAGAATCTCTATAAATTTTCTCTGGTTTGTGAAGTGGAGTGCAATGTTTCCTGTGTCCCCATCCATGCCTGAAATGGACTGCTCTGTCTCTCTTCGACAGCAAAAAAAATATGTTCATTTGATTCTCCAGGTGCTTTAAGGGGAACGGACTGTGCTCAGTTTGTCAGACCTCAACAGGTTCAAGCTGATTGAGGTGGACCCGCATGAGTTGGATGCTGTTGAGGATTTTCTTCTGATGACCAACTAGGCTGATGCCAATACGCTGGATATCTCTGCAAATGAAAAGAGAAGAAGATCTCAGCCAAGGCTTTGGCACTGTCTACACTTGCAAACTTATTCAAGCCGATGTAGCCTGGCAGAACGTTGGAACCGTTTTGCCATCTTCACCTCTTTCATGGGTAGGGATGCTTATTGCCTTCGAAGAGAATTTGGTGAGAGGTGAGTTGCTCCCGGCATTACTGCCGGTTTGGTGTATGCAAAAATTTTGCTCACACGTGCTTGCTTCGCTCGCACACACACCAGACAAAAATAGGTCTGCGCATGTGCAAAATGTTAAAAAAGAAAAAAAACACATTTGTGCAATTACAATTGTTCTGCACATTCGCAGAACCAAAAAACAAGATGGCGGCCCCATAGGAGAACCAGTTCAGGGGCGTGGCAGGCCTGGATCTCTGCCAGTTCCAGCGACCCAGGCCACCAAACCAGTAACGGTTCAGTCGAACCGGTCCAAATTGGTAGGAACCCACTTCTGGTACAGTCTTTTTCTTCTAAGAATGAATAATGGCTATTGTAGAAAAAAGGACTTCTATGGTATACCATGGATGGTTGGAAACTGTATATCACATGCTTTTTGGTGTGTTATCTTGGAGCATGCCATGATTTTGCTGCAGATCATAGAACAATGATGGCACTTTCCCCCAGAAAATATTTTTATTTATCTATCTTATCTATAGAGCTGTTTATTTTTCCCACAGTGACTCTGGATGGCATACAAGCTAAAACAATGGGGAAAAAATTCATAAAAGCACCTACCAGCTAATTGCAAAATTTGTATCTCTTAATGCTTTTATGACACAAAACAGGCAAAATAAACCAAGATACTAAGGAGCCAAATATACTCTTAAATGAAAGATTTCACTCCTCCTGAACATTTTTTTTTAAAAAAAACAATCTATTTCTGCCCCTCTGTGACATTATTGTGTCGTTCAGATGCCCACTGGGATTCTTAGCTGTTGAAGGAGAAAGGCAGGAGAAAGATGGCCCCAGTCCCAGAGAAAACTGTTAATCATGCTGGGTACAAAGTTTCTTATGTTTAGATTACTGCAACTTGTGCTAGATGGGGCTGTCTTTGAAAATGGCTGAAGGTACAACAGGGGTGCCATTTGGCTGCCCACGTGCTGCCCACTGAAAACTGGTACAGCAAAGGACATCTCAATTGCAGGGGCTATTTTGGTTGCCAGTCACCTTTTTGTGGCATGAATCTTCATTACTTTCAGAATCACCTAGTATGGGTGAAGTCTGCTTGCCTTCTAGTTTGTTGCCAAGCGGGCATCTGGCAAGTTTCCTTTTCCTGGGATGTCCTGGATTCTAGCATTGTCAGTCAAGTACTTCATTCTGAAATAGCTTGCACTCAGAACAGGTCCTTCCCTTTACTATTATCATTCATGACAACAATAAAAACTGCCTTTTACAGGGCCTTCTAAGCAAAGGGTGCCCTGTAGCAGATGGCAACAGTTTAGGAGAGATTAGGAATTTGTTTAGTTAATGTTGTTGTTTGCAGGTGTTTGTATGGTACGGTTGTGTTGTTTAAAGGATGTAAACTGCCCAGAATCTTTGAAGGAAGTGGCACACAGATGTACCTTATGTACAATATAATCCTTGCTGAACTCAAGAGATGATTCTGGATCAGAAAAAATCAGCTTCCTACATCATTTCACATTGTTGTCAAAACTTCAAACAGTGTTTTACTGAAGTTTCCACCATATACATATGAATGTAAAATTAATAGTTAATTGGATGACTAGCAGATTGATACTTGCATGTACCTCTTTAAAAGAATGCAATACTTTTCACAGATTTGGTGTGTGTGTGTGTGTGTGTGTGTGTGTGTGTGTGTGTGTGTGTACTCATTCATACATTTAAATGATGTAAAAAGGCCTGGGTATTTAAAGTCATCTAGGGCAGGGGTGTCAAACTGACAGCCCGGGGCCCAGATGCATCATGCAAGGGCCACACCCACCCCAGCTTCATGTCGGGAAAAAACATCACAATATGTCATGTGATGGCAATGTGACGCCACAGATTTGACACCTGTGATCTAGGGCCATTTGCAGAAAAAAAAAGTTGCATCTATAAACTTTTCAAAATGATTTAAAATGATTTTTAAACAATTTTTAAAATGATTCTATACACCTTTAATTTTTGATTGGGAGCTGCCCTTAATTGTATGAAAGATAGTGGCTATATAAATATTTTAAATAAATAAATAAAAATATTGAGTAAATGGA